GTGGATGTTAAGCAGGGAAATAATATATTAATATGTATGTGGAGTAGAGAAGGAGAGATGAGTTAGCAAAATGAGTGAAAACTGAAGAAATTACGGAAGTGGCAGTATGAGTAAAGGTTTGAGGGGATAAAAATCAGGGTGTAAAAAATCAGGGTGTTAAATTGTTATAAAACAGACATGTGGTAAGCTACTGTTACTGAATGGACCCCTCTTCCTGGGGTCCCTCTGTATTAGGCTCACCTTGCATGTTCCCCTTAGAAATTGTGGCTCTCAATGCCAGAGTTTGGTGAAAAGGAAAGAAACTATTTATTCAAAAGTTATACACACTTAGAGTAATGACTTAATGTCTTTGTTAAAATCCCGAAGTCCCTTAAAACACCCACAAACACACACAGTCCTTCCTTCCCCTTTGCCCTGGCAGGCCAGCCTCAGAACTTGGCAATCAGAAGTTTCGTCCTCCAGAAGAAAAAACAGAAGTCTGCAGCTCACTTCTCCTGGTTCTTCTCAGTCATCCATGCTCGGCTGGCAGGCCTCCGACCATTCCCAGCACCATCAGCTGTGTGGCCATGATCTACAGCTCTGAATCCAAACCCACGGGTCACCTTCTCATTGGCCACCAGCAAGAGTCCTTTAACCCCTTTCCTTCCCGCAATGTCTCTCCTGCATTCTTCCAAACTGCTAAGAGCGAGTTCTGCATGGCTGCTACAATCTTGTTTTCCTGTTTCCTAAGCCACGTGGTTAAGGGAGCCCCACAATTGCAATGTTAAAACCACAAAACCACATGGTTGCCACACCTTGATTTAAACAGGGTTTAAATTCTGGCATGAATCTTTCTCTGCAGCCCCATTTCCAACTCCTCCCACAATCAGCTACACCTGCCAACATTCCCATTTTTCCAGCTTTTCTAGGCTGCCATAGTAAGTCCAGGCAGGCATAGCCCTGTGGTGTGGAGCAACCATCTCCAAGCTCTCACACAGGTGCTGTAACCAGGGGAAGTTGCCTCCCAGTTACATCAGAAGTCACTCCCATCTCCCTGGTTCAAAGCAAGGCCAGAGCTACTTACCAAATCTATGAAGCTAACTAGCTGTTATAGATATGTAAAATAACCATTTTTGCATATCAGGTATGAAGCTGACCAACTGTTAATGTGCAAAATAACTCTCAATGGCTCTGCTCCTTGTGTCCCATCCCCCAGTTCAGACTTGTAGGGGTGAGGATATCCTATATTTTATGATTTCTCAACACCCCAAATTCTGAACCCCATTACAAATCCCTCTTTAGGGGACCCTGGCTGTACCCTATTACAAAGTAAAAGCAGTTTGATATTGCTTAAGCAATAAATGGAAAACAGGAAATTGGAGGACTTCAGACAGCATTGTCTCCTATGCTAAAAAACTTAACTTTATGCTGAAAACCAACACTTCTGAATAGAGATTTGTCATGGATTAGATAAATGTATATAAAAGGTAATAAATACATTTGATACATGTGCTGGGTTTCCCAAAGTTAAGTGAATTTTCTCTTCAGTATTTTAGTAATAGTCAATAAACTGAGTCAATCAGCAAATACTTATTTAGCACCTACCATGTTTCCAATGAGGAGAGAGTGATGAGCAAGAAAGATATTTACCTTGGTTCTCACATTCTAGATTATGTACACTGTGAAGAATACCCAAAAGTTGCAGAGGTATGTATCCTTTCCATAACCCTGTTTGTTGATGAGCATCTCTAGGGAGCACTCTAGCAACTGAAGATTTGGGTAGTGGGGATGGAGTAAAGAGACCATCCAGAAGGTGGTTACAGTGGCCTAGGAGAAAGTCTGATGAGCATTGCCCCAGATGCTCTCAGTCTATCTTGGGGATCTTTCTATCTATGCATTCCTACTGCCCTTATCCTTCCAGCCCTCATACTTCCAGCCTTTGGTCAACTGACTTCTTATTCATGAAAGCTTCACACTGCTTCCAACCACTGTTAAATGCATCTTCCTCCCAGTACCCACAATACTGTAAATGTCTCTCTGGTACTATTTGTCAGCCTGTAGTCTATCTGTAAGAACACCCTGTCTTCTGGCAGAGCATTTGGAAACACAGACACTCAGTAAAGTTTGGTTTAGTGTTGAAATAGTAATAAAATAACAATAAAAATATTTTAGATAGGTATAATGCTTGAGCTTTAAGACAATGGGAAAAAATAAATTTTAATTGAAGTTTTCATGTATTAATATATCTCAGCAATCTGAACAATTTGAGTTGACTGATCATGAGATCTCATAGATAGGAGGTTTCCACCTGGAGTGTATCATGTAGAACATCATTTTCCAGGGTCTGCCTGTAAGTTAATATTAATTATACCAGGGGTGAAATCTCTGTTTCATAAAGCATTTCTAAATACATGACAAGGCTGTGGTTAAAATACTTATATTTTAAAATCCCCAGACAACTTTAAGATATTGATACTCTTCCAAATAAGGAAGAACTGTGTACTCTCATCATTCTTTTATCACTTCACTTTCATGAGCTTTGGCATTGCTTTATTTGTATAACTTCAACCATATCTAATGACAGTCCAAAGTATTTTAGAAGAGAAATAAATGGCAACTCAAACATTTTAGGGTAAAAGTGGAGAATTCTACTGAGGAAAGAGCTGCTTTACATTTTACCTACCTTTAAGAATAATAATTTGGTTGTTCATGTGCTTGTTGGCCATTTTTATATATTTGGACAAATATTTATTCAGATTCTTTGCTCATTTTTTAATTGAGTTTTTTGTCTTTTTATTATTGAGCTGCACGTGTTCATTGTGTATTCTGGATGCTAAACTCTTATCAGATATATGATTTGCAAACATTTTCTCCAGTACTGTGAGTTGTCTTTTCTCTTTCTTAATAATATCCTTTGAAGCACAAAAACTTCTAAACTGGGTGAAGTGCAACTTATCTGTTTTATCATTTGTGCTTTTGGTGTCGTATCTAAGAAGGTTTTGCCTAACTCAAGATCATGAATACTTACTTCTATATTTTCTTCTGAGAGTTTTACTGTTTTAGCTCTGACATTGAGGTCTATGATCTATTCTCAGTTCATTTTTGTGTATGTTGTGAAGGAGGAGTCCAGTTTTCTTGTGAGAGTTCCCACATACAATGGTCTTTCTCAGCCATCACCAACCACTCTTTCTTCTTCAACCTCCCATTTTTTCCTCTCTTCTCCTTGCTCTTTCCTAGTGGACCCTCATTCTCCCATTTCTTTCTATGTGTAAGATTGTCCAGGGCTCTATACATATTCTTTCTCTTCCTTTCCAAAATTTCTTTAAAAGCAGCATAATCCATTCTAACAGTTTCATCTATCATCCCTATTCAGATTCAATGAAGATCATTAACATTTCATGAGTTCTTACTCTATGGCAGGTGCCTTGCATATATTACTGGCTCCATTAATTTTCAAAACAACCTTTATTAGCTCCATGTTACACTTGAGGCATTCGAGGGCAGGGTCATATAATGAAAGTGCCTGGATTTGAACCCAGGCAGTCTCACTCCCATGCAAGCGCTCTCTACCTTTATGCTATATCTCCCATCAAGACTAGGCTCCAATTCCACACTTTTCAGGACTCCAGTTCTGATCACCTGATGTGATATGGTCCTTCCATCTGTGTGACTCTTATGACATTTACTTTTTATCCTATATTATGGTCATTTACATTCACTGTGCTCCCATACCCCCATATTTCATTATCCTATCATGTCCTCTAGATTCATCCATGTTGTTGCAAAAGGCAGGATTTCCTTTCTTTAATGGATAAATAATATTCTTGTGTGTTTGTGTATAACATTTTCTTTATTAAATCAGCCATCAGTGGGTACTTAGATTGTTTCTGTATCTTGTTTATTGTGAATAATGCTGCAATAAATATGGGAATGCAAATATTTCTTCAAGATACTTATTTAATGTTGTATGGATATATATTCAGAAATGGGGTTTTTATTTTTTAATTTTTTGAAGCAACTTACTGTTTTCCACAATGATTGTACCAATTTATATTCCCACCAATAGTTCACAAGGGTTTCCTTTTCTCCACACACTTGCTAACATTTGTTATTTCTTGTTTTTTTGTTTTTTATGATAGCCATCCTAACAGGCATGAGGTGATATCTCATTATTCACAATTGCATTATTCAAAGCAATTTCAATTTCTCTGATGATTAGTGATGTTTAAGTACCTTTGATGTACCTGTTGGCTATTTGTATGTCTTCTTTGGGAAAATGTCTATCTGTTCTGATCCTTTGACCATTTTTTTAATTGGGTTATTTAGTTTTTTAGTTGCATGAGTTTCTTATATATTTTGGATATTAACCCCTTATCAGGTATATGATTTGCAAATATTGTCTCTTATTCCTAGGTTGTTTTTAAATTTTGTTGATTGTTTTCTTTGCTGTGCAGAAGTTTTTAGTTTGATGTAATCCTACTTATTTATTTTTGCTTTTAAAGGCCAAGCCAATTGTCATATAGAGAATTCCATACTGTGGATTATCTGATTGTTTCTTCATGAAGCAATTTACCATGTTCCTCTATCCTGATATTACTTGTGAAATGGAAATTAGATATAAGAGCTTGACTAAATTCTGCCGAAATGTTTCATTGATATATTGAATATTACAATATAATAAGATCACAAAGTGTCTAATTGTTCCAACATTTGTTATGGAATTTGATCACCTGGTTAAGGTAGTAACCCCGGGTTTGTGATTATGTAGTAACCTGTGCATGATACTGTGTCATCTTATAAAAACCTGATTCCTCAGTAACTGCTCACTTATGGATTTAACATCTGATGAGAATTTTTACATTAATCAATTATTTCTTTAGAGGGTTGTAGAATAAAATATACACTTCTGATTTCCTTTTTGGTGATCTATTTCCAAATAGCTGAAAGTCCAAAATTTTAAGTATCATACTTTATTGTAATTGGTAGAGTGCTAACCTTTGATTTTCTTTTTGTGTTTTCAGCAAAATGGGAAGCCACATTTTTATAAGCCAATTGTTGAATCCTTTGAGGAAGCACCTCTTCACGTTATGGTTTTCACTTACATGGGATATGGAATTGGAACCCTCTTTGGCTATCTCAGAGACTTTTTGAGAAACTGGGGAATAGAAAAATGCAATGCAGCTGTAGAGCGAGAAGAACAAAAAGTATGTATACGCATCTCCCTGGATCTTTGTCAATGCTATTCTTCTCTAAACTATCCTCAGAAGCCGTGACACATGCACAGATCCTAAAAAGGGTGAGGAGCTCAGGAACAACTCAGGGTAAATGTTATTTATTTTCACCCCTAGACCCTACCCCCTATGTGTTCACAGACTTGTTTTTACAAATATTTATTGAGTGACCTACTATTTACCAGATACTGAACTAAGATTTTTTCCATCTATTACCATATTTAATTTATATAACAACCCATGAGATAGATGTTAAAATACCATTTTAGAGAATTTTTCAAATCATAATGTAAGAACAAGGCACATGGATGGGACTATATACTCTGGTCTTCTAGTTGTAGAGAAAAGTATGCCTAAATGAAGTGTGAAATTTTTATTTCATGTAGATCAGGGCTTCTCAACTTAGGTGCTATTGATATTTTGGATTGGATAATTTTTTGGTGTGGGAGGCTGCCCTGTGCATCATAGAATTTTTAATAGCATCCCTGGCCTCTACCCACTAGATGCCATTAGCTCTGTCCCACACACTTGTGGCAATTAAAAATGCCTCCAGACATTGCCAAATGTCTCATGGACTGCAAAATGACCTTTGTTTTAGAAGCACTGATCTAAATATTTTCAATAGTTAACCTATAAAAGTGTATATCATCTTCTTTTCACATAGAGCTAACAGAATTAACCTGAAAAATATTCAGAGATAGGCAAAGAGCCTGCATTTTGTTAACATGATTCTCAAACTGGTTCAAATGATTTATGATGCTAGGAATCTTTTTTGCCTAAAATTTGATTTGGAATACTGTAAGTGTGGGCATAGATTATTCGACATGAACACATCTAAGCAAAGCTAAGTGAGACACGAATTTCAATGCAATGAGAGAACCTCAAATCCTATAACTTAGGAACAGTACCTATGATAAGATAAACACTCATTATAATAATACTTCCATGAACAAATCATGTGGGGCATTTTTTTGGAATTGCCTTGTCAAATGTATCAACTTCAGAAGAAAATTGGGCCCAGGTTCATTATTACGATTACTTCTACCTTTAGCGAGTATATGAGCACATGCTCCATACCAGGTAATGGGTGCTAACAAACATTAAAGACAGGTCCTGCCATCAGAGTATTTGAAGTCTGGTGTGCAAAAACAGACTCGTGAGCAAAACATTTGACAAAAAGTGATGATGGGGAGGAGTGTGATATGGGAAGCAGAAATCTGGGTTCTATGATTCTCCTAGGAAGTCAGGAAGGCATGATATTGGAGCTTGAATGGTTAGCAGGAATTTGCCTAGTGAGCAAGAGTACAAAGAATGACATTCTCAGAAAAGGGCGTTGCTCATGCCAAGGTATTTATTAACTCATCAATCAAGTCAGATTCTCTTTCAGCATGCATTTTGTGCCAGATATAGTTCTGCAATTAGGGATACAAGAATAACAAAGGCAGATATGATTTTTACCCTCAGAGAGCTAACCATAAAAAAGCAATTGCAATGGAAGTTCATAAGAGTTACCACAGAGGTAGTAAGAGGATGTCAAGAGAGCTAAAAATGAGAAATATCTAAACCAAACTTGGTGGTCATTGAAGGCTTTTGGGAGGAAGTAAAAGTTAAATTGAGATTGGAAGACTGAAGAATAAGTAGTAAAGCAAAGGAGAAGGCAAACTGGGACTGATGGAGCCTTCAGGGAGAGGAAGCATGGTGCAAAATGGTCCAGAGGTAAGAGAAAACATTGTACATTAAAAGAACTAAGATATTCCAATGACTGAAGTGTTGTGAGAGTGGCAGCGTATGGGGAGAAGATTGTTTGAGAGGCAAGTAGGGGCCAGACCATAATGAGTTTATATAAGCCATGGATATTTGGTATAAGAACAATGGTGAGGCATTGAAGGGTTTCAGGCAGAGGAATGTAGATTTGAAGATTATAAAGATCATGTTCACTATCCTATGAAAAAGGGATTACAGAAAGATAACACAGAGACCAAAGAAACCGGTTAAAAGGCTGATGCAGAAATCCAGGTTAAAAAATATTCTAGATGAGTACTTGGGCTGAGATTGTGTTAGCAATAATTGTCATGGTGATAACAGACAGGACCAAGAGATATTTAAGAAGACAGAGATGAATGATGTGAATTGAGAAATTACAGATTGAAGACCACAGCTAGGCTTATGACTTGTACAACTGAGTAGAAAGAAAGTGGTGCAATTCATTGAAATGGGAAATAGAGGAGGACAATCCAGTTGGAGGGGCAGAGTGAATGGTCAATTCTTTTTTTGACAAGTTGAGTTTGAAGAATTGGCAGCTAGATACAGAGGTCCAAACCTCAGGAGAAAAGTCTCAGATGGATATTCGGGCATTTTCAGTATATCTTGGGCATATCAACATTAATCAGACCCACAGATATAGATGAGACCTCCCAAGGAAAGTTTATAGAGACAAAAAAAAGAGGAATGGGGAGAAGAGAACAAGTAACTTCAGAGAATTTAATAGATGTTAGAGATGGAATTCCAATTGAAGACTAGAAGCAAAGTAACAATAGAAAAACCTTATAATGGTTTAGGAAAGAAATAATTTGTGCTTGAACTGGGGAAGAAGTAGATGGAATGAAAAAAAAGGAACCAACTATAGAGATATTTGGGAGATGAAATCAGCAAGTCTTGAAATAAGTACAGAAAATAATATAGTGGGAAGAATGCCAAATTTCTACTTTGGTCAGACTTGAGGACAGTAGTGGCATATCCATCAGAATGAAATGGTCTTATTTTGACAAAAAGATGGTCAGAGACAGTTTTGAGAATATAAATATTTTCTAATGGTAAAGGAGATTGAAGCAGTTAAATCAAATGGGAAAAAGTCCAGCAGGCTCCCAGAGAATTATGCAGGTTTCCCAGGTCCCAGCAGAGTTGATAATGAAACTGGGAAATTGGGATTCTGAGGACGGAAGATGGTGGCTTTACTCTAGGCAGTGGTTTTCTCGGCTTCTGTGAAGAGGGGGGAAACTCGTGGATCGGTGGAGAAACAGAGCAAGTGGGCTAGGTTACTGAATCACTTTTGAAAGCAGGACATCAAAAATTATTGCACTCACTGGAAAACCAGACGGTAAGGAGTCTGCTACAGGACAAAAGGGGCCCAGGGATCAGCGCGGGGTCTAGGGGTGTGCAGACCCCAGGCCCGCCCCGGTGCTCCGGGGTCTGCCCCAGGGCTCCCGGGAGAGGGAAGTCGCTGCTCCCTCCCTTCCCCGAATACAGGGCGTGAGCAACTCCAGGGGAGAACGGGTTGCTAGAAGGAACAGATTGGCCAGTTGGACTGAGAAAAAATCGCGCAGGGAATATGAACACCTGCCCAGAGACCGGGGAGAAGTGAGAGCCTCTAGCTGACAAGACCAGGGGCAGCCTGGAAAAGTGCCCGCACCCCTAGCCTGGTGGAAGTGCAGATCGGTGGAGAGTACAAGCCGGGCCGTGCTCGGCTTGCAACCCATAGGTAGGCAGGAATCACGCGCTGCGATCCCAGGAGGGACGTGGTGCTGGGTGCGTTCCTACAGTAGTGGCTCAGAAATTTCCAGCTAGCCCGACCGGGGGGAGCTGGGAAAGGCGCCAACACTCGGTCAGAGTGCGATTTGGCAGGGAACACGGAGCTGGAAACGGCTGGGCTCGCGCACCGTTGGGAAGACTGACTCTCGCATGCCAGTGTGTTGGGGAGTGCCCAGGGTACCTGACAGACTTGCTGAGATCTGGCTGGGAGAGAGAGAAGCATTTCAAAGGCCCCTCAGCAAGCTGAAGCCAGCAAGATCAGAAAAACTGGTCTGGCCAGTTAGAAACCAACAAGAGGTTTGTTTGTTTGTTTGTTTGTTTGTTTGTTTGTTTGTTTTGGCTTTGTTTGGTTTCTCTGGCTGTTGTTGGTTGATTGATTTTATCTTGTGTTTTATGTGACTTTTTTTCAATTCTCATTATTTTTATCTCGCAATCCCTTATGTTTCTCTTCCATTCAACCTAATATTATTCTTTCCACTCCAAATTTATCTCTCCTGCACTACATCTTCTGCTTTTCTTTCCTTTTTTTTTAATCTTGCAAGTTACTGTAAATTTGTATTATCTTTTTCTCACTTTTCCGACATTTTTTATTTTAATAATATTTTGGTATTCTTTTTCTTTCTGTATAATCTTCTTTGCTTGGCTGGTTATACTGTCATTTGATAGGTTCCCCCTGGTATCTCAGTCACAAGGTGTTGATAAGTTACTATCCTTCATCTGTGTTCTATTAATACACCTCTCAAGGTTCTATACTCTTTATTCTTGTTATCTAGACCTCATCGATTCTGCCACAAGACTGTCACTTTACTATTACTGCTAGTAAGACCTAGTCTATACAATTGTAAATGCTTCTCAATACCCCTACCTGATCTCAGCCCACTTTGCAATTTTCTGAACTATACTATTGTGGGGGTTGTCTCTATTCTTTTACTCACTACCCCTATATACCAATCTTTAGTCCAACCCTATCTTAGAAGCTGACCTCCCACAGCCTCACAGCTTTCTAGATCCAACTAACAATCCTCTCAGCCCCAATAAGAGTCTTACCTTCTTTCCATCCTTTCAAAATGTGGATAGTGGGGTGGAGGATCACGGTTAACACTATAAGGAGCCAAAGGATAACCCATCCCTTCTCTACTGGCTGCTAAAGTAAATATCATAGTATACTGTCTTGCTGTCTTAAACCATTTTGCCTTACTCCTCCAACTGATCACAAAAAAGAGTAGGGGGAAGCTGTGAACACCAGGATACACGAAGGAGATTGCACAACTGAAACGCACAAATATTCTACCACAGAAGTTCACACCATAATTACAGGGAGTCAGGACAGTTCAAATTAACAAACAAGAAGAAAAAAGAAGAAACCCACGAACAATGAGAAAACAAAGAAACAACCCCCAATTGAAGGGAAACGAGGAAGCCTCAGGAAAAATGCTAAATGAAAC